GAACCTGAGGTGCCTGACAAACCTGAGGTGCCTGAACAACGTGAGGCGCGTCATGAACGTGAGGTGCGTGAAAGTCCTGAAGTTCCTCCCGAGGATACATTTCCTGCCCCCCCAGTGTCGGCACTGTCTCGGAAGATGGTGGAGTGAATTCAGATGAAGAAAAATAAAACATCGCCAAGCTTTTAAGGACTGCATGCACCATACAGTGTATTTACGCGGTCATACCTTTACTGAGAACCCCAGGGTGTGCATGTGTTTGGATGTTTGTGTGTTCCGCAGGACCGGCAGCCACTCTTCGATTTAGCGGCCATGCTTACTGCCCCTGAGATGAAGGAACTAGCTGATGACGGCTCGAGGAAACTCATGGAGAAGCTCGCACTTCAGGCTGCACTCCACTGCAATACCGGTTATAAAGTTTCACGGAGATCAAACATGTTACGTACACATGTGAACTTGGGGTTCATGCATGATTTAGAGATTCAGACACGTCAGTCAGTACCCGTCCTTGTTTGACCCAAGTTCTGTTTAGTTCTGGTGGGTGCAGGTGCAACAACAAGCGCGAAAAGACATCAAGGAGCATGTCAAAGAGTGCCAACTTAGTCATGAACAGAAAATACAGAAGGAAGAGTCTAGACTTGCACGTGCTCATAAGGGCAAGGGAAAGGGCCGTGGAAAGGGCAGGGGTAAAGCATGCAAAAAAGGTGGCGTGAGTGAAGCTCCATGTGAGCCAGAGATCGTCGATCCAGAATTGCGAAAGCTTCGGTCTCGTCGAGCGCAGCATGAAGACGCGGATGGTTTGGTAGATTCGTCTTCCGAGGCTGGGCCTCCATAATATGTTCCTTTGGTTTGCACTTTGGGGCTGGGGGAGAACCTCAAACTCATGTACCTGAAAAGGCTGATGATGCTGATAAGATCCCGGACAGCAAGAAACATGCGAAGAGGAAACAGGCAGTGTTCTTTTTCTTTCTTCTCATTTAGGTCGTGGTTGGTTCTCGCGGTGCTTTGCAGGGCAAAGACTTGGTGACGGCGCCAGCGCAGAAGAAACAAAAGCCGGCTTCGGAGGCCAAGTTCAACAAACATTGTGTTATGCTTTGAATATCTTTGAATGGATGTTGATCAATCAAAACTATGGAACCTCTGTGGTGTTTATGTTCTATCTTTCCGATGACATGAAGCTTAGCTGAGCGCGCTGGCAAACCTATGCCAGGTGCCCAAGAAGGAAGAAGAAAAAGCTTCGAGTTCTACGAAGGGGAAGGCTTTCTCACACGTGCTAGCACATGCTGCCATGTGCTTTGGATGTTGGACAGGGAAGAAAGCCCGACAGACCAGAAAAGAAAGCGAAAGACTGGTGCATCCAAAGAGGACAGCTCTAAATTGTACCAAAAGGTTCGAGCATAAAAAGCTGGCCCCATATCGAGGAAAGTGTTGTGGCTCAATTTATTTCGATATATGCTTTGCAGGAACAAGAAGATCTAAGAGGTGCCTCTGCACCCGCGGAGGGGGGTTGATGTCTATCAAAGTATCTTACACTCATGTGTGTCTGTTCAAGTGCATGCGAAGGTTCAATAACCCTCTTTAGTCAACAATGAATTAGTATATCCGGCCATGGTTCGCATTCAGGTACTTCAGCATCTCTTTGTTTATTTACCGTTCTTGCTTCTGGCAAATCATTGGATTAGAAACTTGGCAGGAGGCAACCGAGGGGAAGAAGGCTGGCAATCTAGAATCACAGCAAAATCGAGTTGTGAACTTCGACTGGCATCGGAGGCAAAGAAGAACTACCAATACCACATCTTGAGCGAGGTGGGGAAAACTGTTGAGAATCAAGAAGAACACGTTGATTTGCCTGCAGGATGTCAAGAAGGATCGGCTTAAGATGATTGCCTTCGCTGATGAAACCTTTCCAGAGATGACGCCTCCTTCAAACCTGGGAGAACGAAAGTTTGGTTCTTAACTCCAGTCCACGATTTGTATGTCCTTGCGTGCCAGGGATGTTCCCGTTCCAGTCTAGCAACGTTTCTTGTTTCACTATTAATACTTTTAGCACATAAAAGCGAAACAAGAACCATACTAGTTGTATTTATTGGATATTCCTCCAGTTGGTCTGGTTCAACATGTCGAAGCTATGCGTGCATGCATATGATGAGTGTGTGCGTGCGCATTGCCTCCCAGGTCATGGGTCGTCCAAGTGCCTGATTCAGTGGTCGTTGGCAAAAAGACAGATATGACACTGTCGGGCATTCAAATCATTCTTCGTGGCTCATTGTACGTCAACTATGCCGATGAGACGTTGATTCGCCAATTGAATGAAAAGACGAACATGAAATTTAAGGCCCCAACAACTCTGTTCACTTCAAATCTGCGTATTTATGTTACGATATGCAAGGGACAAAACTGCTTTCAATTGAGGTGATATCCAATGAGGGTTTCAAACCAGTGCTATTTGCCGTTTAGTTGCCTTGTTTCAGGCCGATTCCAATTTCGGATGCACTCTGAGCTGGAGCAAGTATGGCCTCACAAGGGCTTGGGAGTTTGCCCGCCAGCTGGCGGGTTGGGATTCAATTTAGGTGAATACCACCGCAAAGGGGTTTCAATTTGGAAGCCACGTATCATCTTTGTGGGTGGTGCAACATTTTAACCTGGGACTACCGCCCCTGTTAACACATGATATGTAGATCGAGTTTTTCGGGGAGCCACGTCACCACAAAGTCTTGGAGCTTCCATGGTGCTTTCCAGCTGATTGATCGGTGGGATAAAACAAGTATGTGCAGCATTCAGCTTACAATGTGTGCAAATAAGATTGCATTCGAGAGTAGAAACAGGTACGTGGAAAGGCTCAAGTGGTCAGGATCCTAGCCCATCCCCTTTGACTCAGCCTTTGACCACACCCATGTCCTTGTCAAAGCCCAGCGTAGCCTGGGGCAAGAAGCCGATTGCCCTTACGGTAAAAGAGGCCGACCTTTTAAAGCGATGGGGCTGTCCAATGGAAGTGCTACATCCTCAGTGGGCCTCTCTTGTTTGTGGGTTTGGATGGGGCAGTACTATGTTCAAGTGATTCGCCCAGGCTTCATGCTTTGGATTGGATTGCTCAAACAGCCCCTCCTGCATTGTCAAAGCGTGTCCAAATCCTAGCACTTCAATTCTGGCATAGTACATAGTTGATGGGTCTGCCCACGCATATCTTTCTACCCTGAGGATTTGAAACTGCTTGACTTGTTTTGCGGGGAGAAAGCCATGAGCAAGGAATGGAGCCCGGGCCCAAACTCCAAAGGAAACACAACTATGCATGCAAGCAAACACAGTACTGTGAACAAGGCAGTTACCAAGGTTTTTGTACCAAATATGAGTTGGGTCTCCCAATGACTCCATCGTCTTTCCCGATATCTTCACCCCGAGTAACTTGACGCCGGGCTTTGAGGCTCCCACTCGGAAAAATCGTAGAGCACTCAGCTTCACATTGATGCATCTGCAGTGTGAGGCAAACAATGGCCATGATTCATGACTCAGGGAGTGCTATGACATCCGTGACAAGGGTGATGCACACAACATTTTGCTCTCGCAGCTGCCTTATTGAAGTAGACACTGTCCGCCATTTCCTGATTCCCTTATCCATATGGTACATTGGATGTCTTTGACAAAGGTCTGGATTCATCAACCTCCTGCACTTGGCTTTGAGAATGGCTCCGGATAGCCTAGCTATGATTGGGCTTCCATGCACATCATTTGTGCAAATCAACTATGCAACCCATAGGCGGTGTGCAGAAAACCTGTATGGTCGAGAGGACCAGTTCCGCTACATAGGAGAAGCCAACACGAACCTTTGTCACATGTGAGTCGGAAAGGCTTTTTCCCAAGAAGTCACATTTTACTAGCGCTACTAGGTTTCTCTTCCCACAGGCTTTCATGTTCTCCCTGCCCGCACTATGGCAATACTAAGGATAGCTGTTCGGACAGTCATCATCATGATGATTCTGACGGTCAGGGGCTGCTACTATCTACTAGAACAACCAGGAAGTTCCAAGTTTCTTTTGTTCCCCGAGCTGCTGTTCCTGCAGCAAACCTTGGAGAACTCTGGCATCCCAAACTTCTTTACAAGATTGCCTGGGTCCTAGCTCCGGAGCGCCACACAAGTCAAATGTACAAGCACCTCCTTGCTACTATGGTATGCTAGGTAAACTCAAGTCTTCGTTTTTAAGTTGCTATGCAGCTATGTGGGCGCATCTTTTTGGGAGGACTGTATTTTTGGGAGCTTCCGGGATCGTGTTTGCCCACTGCGCTCAGTTGGATGGGATCATGGGGTGCAAAATCACCAAAGCTGTCTATGGCCATTGCTTCTTCGTTCGGTGCTTAGAGTCTGGATGATGAGCAATTTGGGACCCACTAACTCATCTTTCATCATTGACAGACACACATAACAGCCGATCCAAAAGCGACAAACTCTATTGCGACACCACCCTCCCTTCCATCTTGCCCACTCACGACAAAACGTTCAATGTTCAATCCTCAAAGTTCCCCGTAGTCCAATGCATTTTACTTTGGATTCAGAGTTACCATAATGTCTTTTGCCCTGTAAACCACCACTGCGTCTCCAGCAACAATCATATTGTTTAGGCCCTACGTCGTGGCACTGAAGAAAAAGCTTGGAAAGTTTGAGAGGGCCAGGCTGAAGCTCAATTCAGCAGGCATTTGCATTTGTAAGGGGAAACCCGATGGTTCAAAGTCCTACCAGGGGGGCCCGAACCTTCGAAGCACACAGGTTTATCCCCGCAAATTTGCAGCCAAACTCTTCAAGATGCATGCCAAGCTGAAGGCCAGGCTTGATCCGGGGGCTGCCACAAACTAGAGTATTTATGGTTGACAAGAAACTGATAACGTAAAAGAAAGCCGTACCTCGGTGCTTTGAATATCAGCTAGCTAGTAGTGTGTTGGAGTATATTGCTATTGTATTACTCTATTTCTTATCTGCTAATTTACTGGTTATGGGGTTGGGGTTGGTCAACCCAGAAATCTGGAGGCCCCGCAACAGGGTTGGATTGACTGTTGTTTCATTGGTCACTTGCCCAGTGCCCCCTCTGCAAGCCTGCAAAGTTCGAGGAAGGAAATCGTCCTTAGATCTTGCGTTTGAGCTTTGAGGTCACATCCTTGATAGATTGCCCTATTCCAGATGTACTTTGGTCGAAGTCTGGACCTTTTGTTTGACCCACTCCTGGTCTCAACAAGCCTGAAAGACTAAGGGCCCAAATGGAATCGTTCCGCTCAAAAAATGAAACGTTGTCTTTCGGGTAGGTTATTCCAGAACATCTGTAAGTTTTCCGGGCTTCTTGGGAAGCGTTGCATACGGATTTGGTCAACATGTAGAAGTTGGTGGGTCAAAGCTAGGTATTCAGTTGGGACACAAGCATTGGTCCTTGTAAAAAATTATTGGTGTGGCCTGACTCCTTTGTGCTTTGTTTCCCGGATCTTGTGCAGTCGTGTGGTTCAATAATATCGATGGTTCCATTTCAAATGTCTCGAGACGAGCGCTCACCAGGCAAAGGAGGCCTTCTTGCTGAAAGCCCGTGTGAACAATGCCCAATCCATGAAGAAAGTGAAGAAGGTGAGGACACCAATGTTTGACAGTTGAACACAGGTTGTCCAGGAAAATGGAAGCAGGGTTTGTCAGCATTCTGTTTGGAATAAATCATTTGGGCATCGTGTTGCCCTCCAAAAGTTTTCGCTGAAGACCCAGCCCACCTCCAGAATAAGTCCCGTGTCTTGCTGCCCAAAAGCAACAATGCAGGTGACGAAGCCAAAGGATCTGTGGCAGCGAGGCAAGATGGACAAAATCTCCGATTTCATCAAGGCTAGGATTGACGATGGGTCCTATGTTCCAATTCTGAAGCGGCTTTGATTAGCCGCACTGAGCTATTTTCGTAATTTGACAAAACCGCCATACCAACACCAAGTGTCAGACCAAGTTGATATGTTGTCAAATTAATCGTCCTGGGTTGGTACAAATTGAATATGTTAAAGGTCTTGGTTGCTCCTGGGTGTTGGCTTGGCTATATGCAAGCCCTTTCTGGCCACTTGAGGCAATCTTGAGGAACCTGGCCATAAGCATGGCTGTTGTTCAAATTCAGGTGGGTTGCGCATCTAATTTGAGACATCGAGGTGATTGCACCTTGAACCCAGCATACTAAACACGGTAAAGGCCACGTGAAGCAAAAGCACTGTGATCTAGTATTATATAGTAGATTTCTATGTAGAAACCCTTCTAGATCTTCAAAACACACCAAGCTCTTGTGAACAAAGACTATTCATATATTTTTGAGCTCTTTCATGCTCTTTGCAAATGCCATTAGATTGGCAACAGGTGGGTGACCGTGAATCACCGTGAACCAGCGTGAAAAGGCCCTCCCAGACCGTGAACGGCCATCTGAGAGCGTGAAAGGCCCGTGAATGCCAGACCACTTTTTTTACATTTTGTTGTGCGTGTGCGTTCATAGTGTTTCAACACTTTTTGCCAGAAGTGCTTAGATTACTTAGAAACAGGATGATCAATCGTTGAAAAGGCATTCCATAGAATGAAATCGTCTTGAATTCAAGGGTTGTTCTTGAGAAGCTGTTTTATTGGGACCTCTTGTTCATATTTTGTATTTACCACTGTCCCCAAAGAATATTACGCAGTTCAAGGCCTTCGGGCTGTGTTTTGCCAACTGTGGCAGAGGTTGGTGCCATCACAGACTTCCGGAGGCCCTTTCTGTTTAGCAGGAGGTAAGTTAGCCCAGGTCAGTGGCCATGTCTGAAAAAGCGATACTTGCCATGGAAAGGGCAAGGAAACGGAAAGCTGATATGGGCCAACACGTGGATCTGCTGGGGGCTCAAAACGCAAGAATTCCAAAGACTAATTAACATATCGTTTACCTAAATAGAGACTAATTAACATATCGTACCAACATTACCATTTTATTTTACCATTTTCCTGCACCCCTCCCATGAGCCAAGGGAATCTCAAGCTGGGACACAAGAGTTGAAGCCAAGCAGTCTGTTGTCAGGCCAGTTCATTAAATTTTCTCGGTCGGTTGATTATCTAAGAATTTGTAATAAAGAAAGCAAGCATTTTCCAATCGATTGCCAAAAACAAATCACTCTCTGCCACTCTACCCTTCACCTGACAAAAGCGACCTTTTGTTGCCAGGCGACTCGCAGGAAACGATTCCTGCGACTACGGAGCAAATTGAGGCTTTGCATGAAATGTTTCGCCAGGAGAGGGAAGAAGCAAAGACCAAAGACAACTTTCCGAAGGAGGGGAATCCGGAATCCAAAAAACCTCGAAAGGATGCTTCCGTCGTGCCAACTCCAGTGAGAT